AATAAAGATATGATGCACCAATGCAGACCAGTTCATTGCTATTAAGAAGTTGGATATGGTTATTGTCCGTGAGAGGGGGGCAGAGAGTTCAGGAGCCTCACAGCCTGTGGATACAGGCTGTTGGCCAGTATAAGTTGTCGTGTCTAATCTGGTGTCCAGCTACTGCTTATGAATTTCCGTGTCAGAATATTTTCTATAGTTTGTGAACTTCCATGCACTGGAGCAGGACAGAATGCATATTGTGTGAGTTACAGACAGGGGCTTGTGTATGGCCGGATCTAGCTCCTGCAGTTCCGTGCCTCAGTGGACAACAGATACTGACAGCACAGAGCAGTCATTCATTAAATACGCTCCACTTTATCTTTCTTTGTGCACTAACTCTCCACAAGATTCCACGTCCTCTTCTTCTTGATCTGTAAAGATCAGTGTGAATGTTTCTACTTTTTAAAACATTTAACACCAGTAAATTTATTGTAATTCATGCCATTTTTCTCACAAAACTGAACACTTTCTGCTACTTCTATTACATGCATATATATTGTTAGTGCTTCAAAATGAAGCTTTAATCCATCTATTTGATCTTGTTTGTTTATAAATATTCAGGCACATCTTCCACTTATCCTGTAGTTTTGAATTGATGCAGAATAACAGAGGCCATTCTGTATCCTAAATTTGATCTGAGGTTAGGAAACATTTTTGAAGCACTTAGACCAATGCTTACAGCGAATATGCAAATTGCATGGCAAGAATTCAATTGCACTACAGAAAGACACTGAATCATCATTTTCGCTCCAAAGAGGGATTGCTATAGCAGTATTGCATTCATGGATTGATCTAAAACCAGACCACAGGTGGGCCACAAGCTAGTGTACTCTGAGTGCAAGAAAAATAGAGAACATTGGGTCAGGAAGGGCATCCAGCTTAAAATCTTGGCCAGATCAAACGTGTGACTCATAAAGAATGAGATTTCCATACTAGGCTTGTGGGGGCTCAGGTTAACAACAACCACTTCTAGTGCTGTTGGCCAACAGTTAAAGTGCAAATGTGATGGATAAGAAATCTGATTCCTTACTGAGGTATTTAATTCTGTTTCTTATAACATAACAGAATTTCATAACAGAATTTCATTGTTTTTTGACTGTGTTGCTGTAGGGAATATGCAGTGAGAATGTAAAGAGCAGAAATGGGTGTTGCCTGGGTTCATTGTGCTTTGATCCACTGGTTGAGTCTTACATGAGTTAATAAAATACATTTACTTCATGTTATGGTTCATACGGTTAATATATTCCTCAGTTAGAAAAGAAAAGAAGAATAATTTAGTTTGGGAATGGTATCCTAAGGCCGAGTTTATCTATGTAGAGAAAATGTGATTTGGTTTTGTGAGCTAAAGGCGAGAGTAGCGTGTCAATCTCTTCTATTTACCCTGTTTAAGGGCAGAACAAACGGTGGCTACAACTACTGCTGGCCAAAGACAAAGAAAGAGGAAAGAAAGAAGGCACACTAAAAAGGAGCAGGAGAGAAGAAAAAGCCAGAGTGTGGATATGACAGTCATGGGTCTGATAAAGGGGGATATCTAGACAGTCAGTGTGACAGAAGAGGAGACTAGGAAAAGGGTGAAATCACTTTGTTGACCCTAAAAGGAACAACGGAAAGAAGAAGAAGACATGAGGTGTGACGGAAAGGTTTTGTGACGATGCCTATGAAAATAAAAACAAAATTGATTTGACCATCTGCTCATGTCCATCTAAAATGTTATTATTGATCTGATAAGTCCCAGCTGTGTTTCCACCTGTGACACCCAGTTCCCTCCTACTGTTCGTGTTTTTTCCCAGTGTTTCAGCCCTCACATTCTGGTTTAGTGTATTTTTTCGTGAGTTTATTTTCTGAACATCTGCACAGTGCAATAGAGCTTCTCTAAGTTCACCCTTCTGTGTCCGTGACTCCTGCGTTTTGGTCCTCATCCTGCCCTCCACAGCACCAAACCGTGATAGTAATTGCATCTTGTAATCATGCTCAGCACAGTTACAACGATTTGGTACAAATTTAACTTTTGAACGTGCCATCTCATAAAAAAGCTACTTCAAAGAAGGAGGCAGATTTAATTATCTACCAAAACTTATTTTTCCTTAATCCTGTTAATTATACAATGA